AAATTAATTCTAGGCACTTTAACTTTTTTTTTCTTATCAATAAGTGATAAATTATTGGAATAATTAAAATTATTGGGATTATGCTTAGTATTAATATCATAATTTATATAAGTATAACCGTTGTAACTAGAAGAACTATTATTATCACTTTCAATATTAAAATTAGAATGGTTTAAACTATTTTCAAATAAAGAATGGTTGCCATTATGTAATTTACTTTCAACTGGTGAATTCCGATGATTTATAAGCGTTGGTTCACTGGCAAAATCTTTTGTGAGTCTTTTTGACTTTCTATCAATTTCTAAATCAGGTGTTAATTGAAAGCTAACCGTACTGCGATTACGAAATAATTTTTTAAATTTGCGAAAAACTGATTCATTATTTTTATCTTCCATAGTTTAATAATTTTTTGTTGCGATTTACTGACTAACGCAATGCCGTTTTATAAAAATTGTAAAACTTAATTTAAAATTCATTAGAAACAAATAACTTTTTCATTAACACTTTCCCGTGTTCTATATAATTTTTTATACATGTACTCGTAAATTTATTTTATTCTATTATTCACAAAATATTATAAATTTTATTTTCAATTCAGACTTTGAAACAGCAATCGAACATTTCCTTAGATTGGCAGTAAAGAGACTAATAAGCTTTTATTTTCCTTTCTAAAATACAAGTTGCCTTCATTTCTTTTGGCATTTATGCAATATTTTTACGCATTTTGATAAGATTACTATCGTTTTGAGTTGTACAATTGAAATATTATAGCCACTTACTTATTTTATTTCTTATCATGAAACAGTATAACATTTTTCTTACACTGGCTTTTAGATTAACGAAGTTTCCCAGAATTAGGTATATCAAAAACATATACACATATATTTGATGTAAACATACAAGTGTAAAAAGGAAATATAAAGTTGATAAGTTTATATAGGTGCAATTATTGCAATTCAAATAGTCAATAAAAATGATATGTTTATTTGACATGTAATTAAAATTAATAGCTTCACCAGATATTCTGTCAATTGCTTATATAATTATTTAATAAATAATATTTTAAAATAATGAGTACTGTCCGTGAAAAATGTTGTCGTTATTAACTAACAAGTAAATTTTTGATTATATTATTTGAATATTAGGTGTTTTTATTTAAGTTATGAAGCGTGAAGTGGTTTATAAATAAGAGAAAAAAATTATTTTAACTGGCATTCATATCTCAATTTGTTGTAGGTATTGAGTTATTTAATTATAGTTAGAATTGAGTTCAATTTTTCCCGCCATTTTAATAAAAATGATGCAGTCATGATGGAAAATTATTTTCTAGAAACTTTTGTACAAATTAATATGTTAGTCAGTATCTGCAAAAAACAAACATTATCTGATAGTCTAGAATTAGACTAGTCTAATTATTAGACTAGTCTAATGAATTATTTTTCAAAAATTTCTTCTAAGTTTTTATATACAGAGTGATTTAGTAACCAATGACATAAAGTATATCATCATTTAGAGGCATCAAAAATGAGTAAAATTTTTGTTCAGAATTAGATGTCAAACCTCAACGGTTTCCGAGATACAGGGATTTTAAATAATTTTCCCGAAATTTCTATCTGCCCAAGTTTTTTTGCTTGTAACTTCGTTTCCGAAAAAAATAGAATCTTCAAATAAATTTTACATTTTTGGACATATAAAGAGAAATAATCAATTGATTTCCTTGAAATTTGATATTGAAATTTGGAATATTAAAACAATGAGCCTATACATTTTTTTGAAAGATCAGGACTCGGAGCCAAACTGGGGGTCGATTTTACACTTTTTAAGATATATACAGAACTAGTTGCTGAAGCTTGTTGAACAGACGCAAAGATATTAAAAATTAAAATTGGTTTTAAAAATCTTTGACAGAATTAATTGAGATTGATGGTTGTTATCGGAACAAAACGAAGTTCTATTAAAACCTAAATTTATATATTTTTAGGTATGTTAACTAAGAGCTTCCTATCGTCCTTAAAATTTAAAAGAAGTGTTGAAAAGGCTAAACTTGGCAATACACTTTGCAGTTGGTTACGTGTTGATCGCATCAAATTTTTGTTTTAATTTAAAATTTTTCCTTTAGTTTTTTAATTTTTTGTTTTGAAAATAAAAATTATTAATTCATTCTGAAGGAATTCAGAGGGATTTTTAAGCAACGTAGTGCTCAACCTGGTTTTTATGCCACTTTAAAAAAAAAAGACAATTTGTTAACCTTGTTGATGTAGAACGGTGGTAAATGATATTTTTTACTCATATAATGACTAAAGAACTTCTATGTAAGGTGTTCCTTCAACAATTTAAAGTTAAACGTAAATCTAATTTAAAGTAAATCAGTTGTAATAAGTTACTCTCGCTAGCAGCCACCTTTGGTGACAGATTATTCTTTTAATATTGATGGTCTGAAAAAGGCAATTAGAAACTTAATGGTTTACCTCAACTCTAAATTATCATTTTTAAGCCATCACAATTATATTGTAATGGCCTAAGGTAAGGCAAGTTCTTGTTAGGTTCTATTGAGTGCCAAAGGTGTTTAATGAACCCTACACATCTCTTCACTCTCATCTTGTACGCCCATCTTGGAAACTTATCGCAGGATTGATCCTCAATGTACGACGTTCACAGAAAAAGGATGTTATTAAATCTCTTCACTCTCATCTTGTTCATCCATCTCGGAAACGTATCGCAGGATTGGTCCTCAATGTACGACGTTCACAGAAAAAGGATGCTATTAAAACTTTTTTTAAGATTCATGTTTCATTATCTTTCCTGGGAAAATCTCCTTATTTTGCTCCCTTATGGATTTAAATTAAAGTTCATTGACATGCCCACCTTGGAAAAAAACGGGAAATCCGCAATGCTACGTTTATTTTCAAAATTTTGAAATCGGAATTCATATCGTTGACCTTCTGGGAAAATTTATAGTTAACGCTATTGCGAGCCATAATTACGTTTACATTAAATAGTACCTTTAACAAAGAACTTATTATGACAGAATGTTAGGATTGGGAAATTATTTGTTTATGGGAATATTTCAGAGCATCATAAACCTTTTAATTTTTTTCTAGTTTAGGACTAAATTACAATTTGTTAGTAATAGTTAATTGTTAATTTTTAACCAGCAATAATAAATAACAAAAAAAAAGAAAAATAAAATTGAGTTTATTTTTTTTAAGGATTGATTTTGGGTTTTAAAAAGGCACTTTTATTTTCAATAAGTGAAAATATTGCTTTTAAAAACAATCTGCTACATTAAAAATTATTTTCATACATATACCAAAAAATTTAAAAGATTGCATACATTTAGGATAAGCAATGTATGCAATCGTTGTCATATAACAAAAAAAATTTAAAGAGATGTTAACATATTGTTATATTCAAAGGTCAATTGCGTGAGTCAAGAAAAGTAATTATATTTTTTGATGGTATGACATTTACTGTTAGCTTGCTGCATTTATTGAAATTTGAAAAAGCTTACACTTTCGGAAATATAAAGCGCTGGAAATTCAAATTTCAAAAATTCCAAGAGAATAATTTGAGGGGGTTGAGGTGAAAAAAATTTCTAATGAAATGAACTATTTATTAGTGTGTAAAAGCTTCTAAATTTTTAACACCACCTACAACCACCAACGGTCTAGAAGAAAAACGATATCGAAAATTTGAACAAAAAACGAATTTCAGATAGCGAGAAGTTGAATGGCTATTTTGTTTTTTAAAGTTTGAGTATAGTACGCCTCGGTAGAAAAAGCCAGCCACTAGTGTTTTGCGTTTGCATTATTTAAAAAAAGTTAAAATTAAAAATTTTCTTTAATGGAAATAAGTTTCTAGTAAAGATCTATGTACATATGAAATTTCATCTTCAAGTGTGTAGAAGTTTTGTAAACATTTCCACGTACAGACGGACAGACGAATAAAACTATTAGTGAAACTAATAAGTATTTTTTATCAAAAATTTTTTTATATACATGCTAAAAAGTATACATGTATATACCTAAAAGAAATAAATAAATACTTAATTAGTAATACGTAATTATAGGTTTTATTGTAAGTTTCCAAAAAAAAAGAAAAAAACCAAAAAAGAATGTTAATTTAAGATATTACAATGTTATATGTTTGAGTTAAACGTGAAGTAAATAAAAACAAACCAATGTCAGGTTGTTGAATTTAGTTTTAAAACTAACCGTTATCCTCGAATGGGTTTTCAATTTTTGACAATTTTGAAAAATCCAGTTAACTAAAACTAAATTTTAATAGTTAATAGATGTCGATAAATTTTTTTTGGATAGCATTGAATTACTTTGCTCGCCCTATTTCTCCGCTCCCTTTAAAACTTCTTCGAAATTTATGCAAATACGCGGCATAAAACTTAAAATTATGTACTTATATATAATTGAAAATTCTTAAAAAAATCAGTAACTGCTTGTTAATCAGTTACTGCTTATTCGAAAATCACACAGATTTTATCATCTGGGAATGTTATATACGAATAAGTTTCAGTATAATTTGTATGATTATACTGGAACACCTGACTTTCAAAATGTTTTATTAATATATTTTTTTATTTAAAAATCCTAAACCTGGATAATGAAGCGTCGAGAACCTTTCTTCAGGTCGCGAAAAAGTTTTATGAAAACTAAGACAATTCCAGAAAAGCCAAATCTTTTCATAAACCTTGTTCAAAAGAAGACTTTAGTTAACATGTTCATGAAGACTACAACTTCATGAAATTTAAAAAATTTCAGTATTTAGTTTTATAAATAAAAAATATATCTACATATCCAAAAAATATGTGCGTTTGCGAAAAACAATCCACACACATATTTACGAATTATGAAGCAAACCAGCAACTATGAATCAAAACCTTTTGAAAAAGAAAATGATTTACAATTTCTACAAATGGGAAAATTCTAAAAATCTAAATTTCTAATAGACCGACAGATTAAAAAAAAAGTGATCAAATAACTTACTTGATTTGCTGTTTCTTCATCTTCAGGAGTCAAAGTTAATGAGGATTTTCTTCTTCCGATCCTGCCGGATGAGCTTGATGTACCACCTGAAATTGAGAACACATTGAATGACGCATATATTTCTCTATATTCATTAAAGTTTGCTAATTTCTCTAAAATTATTTGGTGCTTGATTTTAGTTTCCACATACATTTTTTTTCCAAAAAAGTAACAAAAGATAAAAATGTGTAAGGCTAAATAGGACGAATAAAACTTCTTAATTTATAAAAAAAACCAACGAGCTAAGAGAAAATTAGTAAATGAAAATGAATTTTCAAAAAACGAAACGAGGTATTTATTTTATTTTTTTCCCACGAGTATTTCATAATGTTGACTATTCGATTCAAAATGCTTATTATTTTCAAATTTTAATATTCAACTATAACGATATATTCAACTACTGGTAACGCACATATTAGCTCCCTTTCCCTTGGATTTGTGGAAATGCATGTAAAAATATTATAAGCTGCAGCACATTAGTAAGGCTTTATTGCTAGGTTTTTGAACTAAAATTTTGTCCAATATAATTTAACTTTTTGTTTTCATCTGATTATTAATCCGAATTTCTTTGGATCAATTAAATTGCTTACACTAATACCGGACCAAGCAAAGTAGCTAAAATTTAATGTTGCAGTAAAAAATATGTAAGTAAAAAATAAACGTGCGTTTAAACATGTGTTTAGATGTACTAATTGTTGGTATTTGGGTAGGTGTGGACAAGGTTATTCATGCGTTGAGTGGTGCCAAATTTATTTTAATAATTAATAATAATGACATGTACAATTATATTGATCGTTAATTATTATCAAACTAAAAACAAATTTTACTTAATGGTATATAAAAAAGTAATAGAAATTTATTGCTGTAAAAAAAATCTGCGATTTAAAATTATGAACGATATATGTATAATATATAGGCATTTGAATTATAATTGCAAGCACTCAAGGCGTAATCTACATTTTTTATTATAAATTTTTAAAAATGTTTAAATAAATTTTTTTTAAAAGTAGTTCATTGCGGTTTAGTACATTACAAATTGAAAGTAAATTTATGAATATAATGTCTATGTTCTACGAATATTTTCAATAATTATTAATATTGTTTATGTTTATAATTTTTTCTATTACATACTTATACATATAAAATATACATACGTACATATATAAATTATAACTTTGTAATTACTATGCAAATATGTACTTTTTATTAAAAACAAAATCTTCAATGTTGAAAAAAATTATAACATTTTAAATTTAAATAAAAAAAGTGTTTGCAAGTATATGTACATATATACACATTATGTACATAATATGTAGTGAGAAAGTAAGTAAAAAGATAGTGATTAATTTTAAAAATAACAATGGTTAGGGTAAAAAAATGGCTACTTATGGCAAATTTTATAAATCTGTACATAATTATTAAAATACTCTTTTTAATTGTAATTAAACGCTTGCAGTAATTCAAGCAAAAATAGTGATAAAAAAATTATTAAAAAAATAAAAAGCGCATACCCAATAAATTGTTACCATCCTGTGCGATACTTTCAACTAACTGAATGTTATCATCATTATTTATAATTTGTGATGATTGTTCTAAATTTTCATTAAAATTATCACCTTTAACTATTATCATTATAAAAAAGATAATTATGATTTATTTAATTTTTTACTTTTATTACATTTATTGAAAATACTTATGTATGTATGTAAAATTATAAAATGAGAAAATTAATTTTGTTCAAAATTAAATGAATTCTTAGTTTTTCTGTTAAATTTTAATTTCAACATTGATTTCATCAGCTCTCATTTCACATTTTTATTTTTAAATGAACGTTTTCCTAATTTAAAAAAAAAATCACACACAAATTGTTTTTTTTTTTAATGAAAAGTAAAATTAAACTTTTTCACACTTTTGCTTTTTTTCCGTTTTTATAGTGTTGTTTTCTGTTGTAGTTACAAATATTATGATTAATAATTTTAATAGTTGAATGATTATTATTGGTTAGCTATGTATATAATGACGATAACGATATACAATGTTTGATGATTATTATTTATTATTGATAAATATTAATTATCACTTCAAATGTACCATATAGTATAAATAAATAAAGACACAGCACAGAAAAGTTAATTAGGAAAAACGAAAAATGATTTTTATTTTTTAATTTTTCATAACATTTAATTATAAAAATTTATTCTACAATAGTTGTTAAAAATAATGTACATGATATCTATGTGGGCTCGAAATTTTGTTATTCTATCAAGAATAAATTTTTTGTTATTACATATATAAAACAAAATATATACATAAAAAACTTAAAGAATAATAATGAAAACAAAAACAAAAATATTTGAATGATTCCCATGTCATTTGAATAGTATAAAATGTATAGCAGTTGCACATATCAATATGTATTGATTATTGTTCAATATTATAACGTTACAAAAGCAGTTTAAGTTACTTAATTTAAATTTTCGTAATTATCAAACGGTCCCTTACGTTATCTTTTTCGTCTTATTTTCGGAAAAATCTATCCTTAGACACCTATTCAATGGCATTTGTTTTCGAACAAAAAAAAGTGCTTGCTTTACATTAAGTGAATAAATTTGAAATATAGACTTTCTTTAGGAGGCTCAATAAATAAATCTAGATATCTTTAACAATGATCTAGTTCCAAGAAACTAAAAATTGTAAAGAATTTTCTAGTTTATTTTCTCAACGTTAAAGTAACTAATTATAAATGATTTACTTGTTGTTTTAAAAAAAAAAATAGTTGGTCCAGAGTTGAATCCTTTTTCCTTCAAATCGATTTCATTAAAAAGTTTACAAGTTTCTTTTAATAATAAACAAGGCTGAAGAATAAAATTTATTACTAATTTTTCTATATATATATAGCTAAAAATAAGGTTTGCCAGTTCCGATGTCCAAACTACCTTAAAAGTTGTTGATATTGTCGCACTTCCCGGCTTCATCCTATAAAACTTAATGGAAAGTTTTAAGTTTCCAGTGAAATCAGATGAATAAAGAGAAAAGGTAGGCCACCCAACATATGTGAGATTTTTATTAAAATTATATGTCACTTTTCATGAGAACTGCTTGAGTTCTGCAAAAATATTAGATTAAATAGACTCTGTGGTTCCTACCATCAAGGTTCACGTTGTATATATAAATTAAACAAAATTTAATAAGTAAGTTTATAACGCGGTTTCACTACTGCAATTTCAACAAGTCCTAAAGTATGCTCAAATAGTTTTTGAAGTTATCTGTCAAGTCAATTTTTTAGGATTCGAACATTTGGCATTATATACACTATAATTTATTTTGAAAATAGTAACGGTATATCTGTAAAAAAATAGATGTTGACTAAATATAAAATAAACAAAATAATTATTGCTGAATACTATGAAAGGGTTGTGTCTATATCTGTTTATATACATATGTAAATAAATATGTACATATGTATATACAGAAAATGAGCGAAATAATTGTAAATTTAGAACTTTCAATTAAGATAAGATAAAAATTTAATACAATATTTTTTTTTTTTACTTTTTTTTACTTTTCATACATTAATGTAAAATAAATTATTTTGTAAATATACCAATTTAATGTTTGTATGTGTGTGGTACATAAATGTTTGTTTATAACGCATAAAAGTTATTTGACGGAACAGTAAAACTGTTTCAATAAGCAGGGCAAAGTCATTGTTTTTTCTTCATCATGCGCTATTTGCTTAGAAGTATTTCAACACAATTATCACACTTCTAAAATATTTTAGAAAAATTTTGCCTTTTAGTCTCACTTTGTCTGTAGATTTGTCCGACTGTTTCTTTGTTTAGACAACTTTTTCTATATAAGATAAAATTAATGTGCAGAAAGTAATAATTATTGGAATACTGTAAAATTCTACAGTAATTATTTTTCTGGAATAAATTGTATGTGTATCACCACTTTATTCTCTAAATTATAGGATTACAAGTTCGTGAAAATAGAAAATTTTAATAAATTATTTTGTCAAAACTAAAGCAGTTTGTAAATTTCATAAACATGATAGGTAAAATGGTGGTTGCTTAAAATTCGCTTTTTTAAAATTTTTGATATCGTTTTTCTTCTGTCAAATTTTTGATATCGTTTACAAGCTGTAAGACTCAGAAATTGCTATAAAACAGATTTTTAGTTGCTAACAAACAGAAAAGTGTCCATCTCGACATAATCTTAACTTATCACAATTATGTTACCACCTCTTCAAATTTTTGTTTTTCTGTCTTCTCCTAAATGTATGCAATCGTTTGAAAAATTTTGGTATATGAGTGAATGTAACTTAAATAATTTATATAGTTTTTACAAGTAGTATTTTCGCTTTTAGTCAAGGTTTCCAGTTGTGCTAAAATTGGAGAACGCTCCCATGTTACGTCACAAAGAAAATTAATTTTCTTTAACAATTAAAAGTTAAAATTTCAAATTGTTTGGACTTTAAAGTCATATGTCAAGTTCTGAATAGATTATAACTATTGTAGATATTCTTAAGATCCTTGTTCTGAGGTTTCCAAATCATATTATATAACGCGCCTGTCTTACACAAGCATGGCGTTATACTTAAAATTTTAAAAAGTAAAAAAATCAGTCGAAATTGACTTCATGCCGCTGTAATCCAAACCTGTTGAGTTGTGAACATGGTCTGCCATGCAAAAGTTTTATCTACTCATGAGGGCCTGTACAATGGTATATAATGTATCAGGCATTTATGTGAATCCGCAATAGGTTTAAATTATATAATTGTACTAAATATCATCTTATAGTGAACCATAGCCAAGAAGTAGATATTTTTATTTGATACCAAGTACTATCAAAAATTAGTTTTACCCCAATTTTTGCACAGACAAATTCTTATGTATTGTTGCTAATATAATCAAGTTATAGTAAGTTGTAGAAATAAAAAAAAAATTAAATAATATCAAAATGCATTATAAAACTAATAAAAAAACAAAATCGCAAAAAAACAATAGAAAATTATTCTTTTTTGATTTCATTTTTTATTTTTTTGCATGAAATAATTACCCAAATAATTTTTGGTTATAATTTGAATTTCTGAATGAATTACTTTGTTTTTGTAATATTTTTTGTTTTTTTATTAATTTAACTTTGGGAAATTGGAGTTTGATGGTAGTTTTTCATTTTAACAAAATTCCAGCTGGGCTTTAAAAGCAATTACATATAAAAATTTGCCAATACACAAACAACTTTAGCAGTGACTGTATATATTTACACCTTTGCGTATGTAGACATCTTTGTTATGTAGTTATGTAGTTAAAAAGCTTTGCATGCTACAAAAAGCAAGATTTAATCTCAGTTACTGGAACGTAACTAAAAATAATTGTGTTTCATGACAAAGCAAAACCATTGTTTACGTTTATTGCCATTGGTAAAATTCATTGAAAAATAGTGTCTTTGGCTAATTTTTCTATTGTTGATAATTAAATTTTAACTTGTTATAAATTAATTTTTCAATTCTTTCTAATTCTAGCTATTTTAAATAAGGGTTTAGGATAATGAAAGGTATTTTACTTCCAAACTTTATCATGGTTTTAAGTAACTTAAAATTCGTTTCCGTATTTAATGCATGCCTTGTTATACCTTTAATGTAAACTTTTACACGGTAACTATTTTAATGTAAATCCAAAAATTTTTTGAAAATTTTTAATCCCTTAAATTAATTATTCACACAACACTGTTTATAATATAAAACTTTTTAATCAGATTGTTTTAAGTTGTAAAAAATGTCTGTAAAATATTAATAAATAAATAAATAATAATAATAATAACAATAATAATAAGTATATAAAATTAATGTGCCTGAAATCCATATGCAGTGTGTTGCTTATTTGTGTTATACATAGGTATAGCAATTTGGGTCTATACTAAGTGATCTGTTGTAATGTTGTTTAGATTAAAAGAACCTGAATCAACAAATCTGTGAATGATGCAATTAAAGTAGAATTATAATAGAAATATTTTTGTTTAATTTTTTCATAAAGAAAATCCATAAGTTATCAAATTTTTTTATAGAAATTAAAAAAAAACACCTCTTTTCAAAATATCAAATTATCTATTAAGCAATAACATTTAGTAATTTAATGTAGGTATCACATTTCAATTACTAGTATTCATACGATTTGTTTTCTTCAAATAAATCAACTTTGCTTATTTTTGTATATTGGAACACATATTTTTCACTGTATGTGATTTATAGATGTATGTATGTATGTATATGGAATGAATTTAAATAAAAAAAATATGAAAAACTGGTTTAGTTAACAGTATTAAAAAATGTTAAATAAATTACGTACATGTACCATGTAGGCACAAATATACATACATATGCACATTTTAAAGTTTTTATAAGTTTAAAGGTTTAAAATTAATAACAATTTTTAAATATTTTAAATGTTGAAAAAAAAAATCAACGACACATAATTAAAACAAACGCAAAATTAAATAAGAATCTTATTGGCGCGCGTTCCCGAACATTTATGAAACAACTTCGCTCAATAAAAGTTTTTGAAAATGAAAAATAACAAGTGAAAAAGCTTAAAAGCAATCACATACAACCATCAACAACAAAATGTCAATCATATTTTATTATTTATTTTTTTTGTTTAATTTTGTTTTTCACTATTAAGAAATTATAATTTGTTTTTAAAAGCGTTAATTTTTTTTTTAAATAAGAACCCTCTTGACTCCTATAGGATTTTGAGTGTTTCTACAACTATTTCAGTTAAGTAATTGATACATTGGAAGATTTCATAAATTATTTGCATAGGTAATACAAATTAAGAACATGGGCAAAAATATAAGGTTTCCTATTCTTGCGTTATGCATCTATATATGTACATAATATGATAACAAATACATATTCCATATTTGGGTTGAATCAATTTTTGACAAAATTTATATTTTTATGATTACGGAAAAATTTATGATTATAACAAAATGATACTTTCGTACGATCTTATTTTATTCTCAATCAACAACATTTACAACGTTATCGGTTGATTTAAATATACATATGTATGTATATATACTTGGTTTTTCATTTTACTTAAATTTATACTTAAATTTATGAAAGTTTTATCGATAGTCAATATCGTTACTTACGCAAACTTTTGTGATATGTAACGATTTTAATTTTTGACATGTTATTTTTCATATTTGCTGTTAGTAGAAAATTTCAAGACGGGTTATTCTCTATCCATAAAAACCTTAATAGGTTGATTGTGTCTTGATTTTCAGTCACTATTTCGTATTCACTTTCAAATCAGAATTGGGATTCTCATTTTTGGGAATGTCACTTCCAAAATTTATACTAATTTTTATATCTCTAAGAAAGTATGTTCAATTAGCATACTATAAATAAACTTGCCTTACCGTTTATAACATTAAGAAATAATGGTTTGTGTATGGTTTTGATCAGCATCGAAAAGTCTGATTCTGGTAGGCGTCATACGACTTTGGCTATATATATTAAAAACTGTTCAAACTACAATAATAAAATTTCAAAGTTTCGAAAATTTGCACAAGCAAATATATGCTTGATAAGAGCTTTTAAAATTTCTTCACTGCTTGTAACTGCCATACAGCTTAATAAGCTGTTTATTCATAGCTCAGAAACTATACAGTTGCAAAACTGAAATTTTGAACAGAACATTTGGTGATGCGGACATCATTTTCAGTAACACTCCTTTAGAGTGTATGGGTTTACCCTCCGACATTTAAAATCATTTATTCGTGCATGTATGACACGATCAACTGTATTTATTCTCGTTTCTATTGGATTTCATTTTTCCACAAATTGAATATTGCCTAATTTTGTACATATTTTGGAAAATCGAAAAAAAAAATCTTCTAACTTAAAAACTACATTACACGAATATATATATGGTTTTTTTTGAACCCAACTCCATTTCAAAACTCTCTGGTTTCTACAGCAGTTATAATTAAAACTTACGTTTCCGGATAGAAAAATGAATATTCTATAAAGTAAATAACCAGTTAATCAAATTTTTTGGTTATAATAAAGACAAGCAGAGAAATATTTAACTTTTTTTTTAAATGGACTTGGGTCACTTTTAAAATGAACCATCCATATAACTTCACACACTTTTTGCATTCTGGCGAGTCAAGAAACGAGATATAAGATCAGACCTTAATTTCTTTGTTTATTAATAATATAAGTAAAGTAGTAAAATTGCATTAATTAGTATTGCTTTAATAGTCAATGACACTGAAAACGTATCTACAGTTTAGGTGAACTAAATATATTCATAACACATTACAAACGGAAATCAAAATACAATTGTATAGTTTTTTCTCTATGTATAAGCAACTCACACACATATATAGATAACACACATAGAAATGCACTTGTGTACACTTAATACTATATAATACATACATATATATAAATATGTTTACCTACTATTTAATATTTTTTTTTTGGAAATTTTTTTATTCTTTTAGAAAATAAAGTTCCAAATTAATAATTTTTGATTTTATCTTGTTATAGTTTTTAATTTACTGGTGGATGTAGAACTTTGGTGCTTAACTCTTTTTAGAAACATGTTGGTGGAATAGCAAATTATAATATGCTGTTGTGGATGTATGCATATAGATATGTAGATATTATTGGACAAGTATACAAATTACAATATAAGATTTTAAATTTTCTATTATCGTTAATGTATGTATATATAAATGTATGTCGTCTATAATACTATGTTCATGTTATATTATTCTTACTACTATTATTTATAAGTGTTAAAATTATAATATACTTTTTGGTTTAACACTATGCTTGTTAATGTTAGAATATTTATGTACATATTCGGTTATTACGATTAAATATCATATGTACTTAGATGTATGTATAATTGTGGATATAGAACAATATAGATTCATGTTATTATCATTTATTAGTAAGAAAGTGAAGAAAAAACGAAAATGTAAACATATTTTAAACAGTATAAAAAGTTGGAATTGTTATGAAGTTTTGATTTTTTCCACCCGTCATTAAATATGGAGTAGAATTGAAATCAAATGCAATTAATATAGTTTTGCTCTGTCCATCCGTTCAATCGTTCGTCCACCTAGTCTTTCTTTTAAAATTTTTAAATTCCAAATATATTTCAGTAAATGTTTATAGATATATACAAAGTTGAAAGCTAAAACTAAAGCTGTCTTTTTCCTGAAAATTCATCTTTGCAAAAGTAATAGAACACAAGTCTAACGCAGTGCTTAACTTGTATTAAACTCGTTTTTTTAAGGTTGTGATGTCATTTTTTACATTGAAAGAAGCTGTAGAAGTTTAAAATTTTTAACTGTTTTTGGAAATTATCAAAATCAAATTTATTTTGAAGCAATATTATATTTTCCACTTAAAGGCAATTTTTTCGAAACTGCAAACTTTTTTAAATTGCTTTAACGTTACATGTTTTCCATTCAAAAAATTTAATAATTACAATATAATAAATTAATATAAAAATTATCTTGATTAGAGATCGTCGAATTCGCTACCCTTTGTTATGATATTAAATTTTATTTTTATCCTTAAAATATGCAACACTTATTTTTTTCATAATAAAATTTTGGCGTATCAGTGGAAATAATTTAAGTAAGCAGAATGTTGTTTATACCCGCACAAACGTATGTTCGACAGGCATACTAAATTTGCCTTACCGTTTATAACGCTATGAAATAATGGTCTGAGATATAGACTCAAGTGTATGTTTTTGATCAGCGCCGAATTTTGAGTCGATTTAGCTTTGTCTATCCATCCGTCTGTTCGTCCGTCCCAACGATAAGTCAAAAACTAATTGAGCTAAGTTCACCAAATTTTCACAAATGATTTATTACAGTAAATGCCAGAAGCCTATTTAAATTGGATATGATCGAGATACTGGTTCGTGTAGCTGCCATACAACTTCCAAATTTATTTGGCTATATTTCAGAAACTATAAAAACTGTGCTATGAAATTTCGCGCAAGCAAATATATTAGTAGGGCCAATGTGTTTGATAAAAGTCGTTGAAATTGCTTTGTCCTCCTGGTAGCTGCTATACAACTTCAAAAGCTTTTTAGCTATATCTCGGAAACTATATAAAAGCTGTGGTATTGAAATTTCACACAAGCAAATATATTGGTAGGGCCAATGTTTGATAAAAGTTGTTGAAATTGCTTGGCTCTTTCTGGTAGCCAAGCATTCTCTATACATTTTCAATAGTAGTTTGGCCATATCTCAGAAAATATTGAATACACAGTACTGAAATTTTGCATGCCATATTTACTCGCACATAGGATAACAAATAAGTACGGATATCACAGAGTTGTCCCGGTCAACTCTATTTTTTCTCGTTTTGGAAAAAGAACTTCAACTTGTTCAATGGAATCGGTCTAGTTTACATACTGTGATGTATATTTCTTAATTTTCTATCTTACTATAATCACAAACTGCAATTTCCATATTGTAAATAATTTATAAGATTTATCGCAAGATAATTAGTTTAGATATATGTACATAATATGTTTGTAGATGTCATAGATCTATATGTATGAATTCTTCTAAATCATTGTAAACGACTATTTGTTGTAGTAGACGAATTAGAAACAAATTACAAGTACATGCACTGACTTTAGAATCAAGACAGAAAAACTTTAATAAAACTAAGTTCTGCACTTTCATAGAACTTTTTGTAGCATTTTTTCAAAGTAAGGAAAAGGTTGCATTTGATTAATTCTTCGATATTTTTGTGAATAATTTTTAAAAATCATTCAAATAGTTCTTTTCCATTTCAGTTTAGTTTACAGAGAATCTTTTCGTTCCCAGTGAATTTTAACATGAACAACTTGTACGTTTCTTTTTATGAATTAACACATATTGTACATGTACCTTGTGCAGTACATGTTTGTGAGAAAATTTTTCGTTATTGTTTAAGATATTTTATTTAACAACAAAAACATTAAGAAAGAAGACAATGTAACAAACCCAATTTGGTATGAAAAAATTATTAGAAATGTGTGAAGTGAATTCTTAATAAAAGCAATATTATAATAAATTGAAAATTCGACTTTGCTAAAATAACTATAAAAAACAAAAAAAAAAAAAAAATTAAATTTAATTTTTACAACAGTTCTGGCATTGTATTTTATGGGTGACTTTCGAAATAATATTATTAATATCGTCTTTTGTATAAATTTTATGTTGATGGATTACTTTAATGAATGCCAAAACAAATTTATAAAATTAAATAGTTTGCTACTTAGAATTATTAATTAGGTTTGATTGTATTACAGTTGAGTCTGGATGAATTATATTAGTCATTTTAATTGTTTTTTTATCCCACTTTGCTCCTGGGAGGGGCGTAGGACTGGTTCATGATTATTGCACACGATAACTATGAACCAGTTTTTGACGTCGTTGAGTTTACTAGGTAGGTGAAGAACCTACCGCAGTTTTCTCTTTA